GGTGTTTCTCCACACCCTTCCTCCTCCAAACTCCACAAAACAGTAGTAAAATACGCAGCCCAACAGCAACACAAAACAGTCCACAAAATAATAACATTACTACCAAGCCTTTCGATATATATTTCACAAGTTCTANGGAGAACCTTGAGAGGATATTCTTAGTGTTCTAAAGTCTGAAAATAGTAAGAAGAAATGACTTAAAACGGACTGGAGGCATCCTATATAAGTCCAAATAGCTTAAACTGCCTTAGTGGGCCCCATAGAGAGGTGCTTGGCGCAGTCTCGCGAAAATGCGAATATCTCTCTACTCCGAGATCGTATNTCCTCCAATGCTACCACAACAACAAAAAAGCGAAACTAGCGATCAATTAGTGTTTTTCGGCATTAGAATCACTTTAGAAGGCTTGAAATCACCTAGGATTGATATTAAGAACATGAGGGAGTATTTACAGAACATAAACCCTTTAAAACAACCTCCCACACGAGCTGGAACGACACAAAAATGAGCAACAACAAGAAGAACAAGAGACTTACTAGCGCCACGGAATTCCCGACACTTGATTTGTGTTGTTTGCCCTTTTTTTGGGTCTTGAATCTTGAGAGAACCTTGAGAGGATGTTCCTAGGGTTCTAAGGTCTGAAAATAGTGAGAAGAAATGACTTAAAACGGGTTGGAGGCATCCTATATAGGTCCAAATATCTTAAACCGACTTAGTGGGCCCCATAGAGAGGTGCTTGGCGCAGTCTCGCGAAAATGCGAATATCTCTCTACTCCGAGATCGTATCGATGAACGGTTTAATGCGTTGGAAACTAGACTCATAGATATTTAATTTGGTTGGTAGATCACCCTGTAATTCCTTGTAAATTAGGAGAAAAGATTAGAAACATTTGACCTAATGTTTAAGTAAAATTACGAACCTAAGTTGAGACAATTTTTGTCGACTTTTGTTTCATAACTCATTTGACTTCAAGACTTATGATACGGATATTATATGATTAAAATACCTTAATACATGACCTCTTGAGTGTATTAAGCACCGCTAGATTTACCTGAAAATACGAGTTACAACATCCTTGATTCATTTAACTTCTAATACTTGTTAATCACACTTATACACTCTTGTATCACTTAAGACCAATAAGATTGGCTTCTTATCATCTCAAAGATAATTCCTTCTTGGATTTATGTTAACTAATATATGGCATGAACTAACACATGTGGATATGGGTTGTAACAGTGGGGAGAACCTGTTCGGTAATTGAGCAACTGTATCTCTAGGCCTCCTCACGCCGACCCTGTACCGAAGAAGGCTTCTCAACCTTAAAGTCATCGTGACCGAACAACCATCGGGAATGAATATCTTCAAGGGAGGATCTTCCGCCGGTTCATCAACAACTGTATCGGGTATGGTCTCCTCGACCTCAGTGGTCGGTCGTGAGGAAGAAGGAGCATCCTTTTGAGGAACAGATTTTGAGGTTTTTGCCATTGTTATGTAAGAAAAAGCTTGGAAAAGATGGAGAAAGATTGAAAGTTGAAGGATCAGACTTGTTGGCTTGAGTAAAAGATGAGTAAAAGTTTTTGCAAAGTACTGAAGAACCTTGAGTAACAAAGGTAAAAATGCTAGAGCGTATTGAATTCCTGAAGGTACGAAGGTAGAAGATTTAGTGTAAAGTGAAAAATGGACAAAAGAGGGGGTATTTATCGGAGTTCGGTGACGTTTCGCATCCAGGGATAGGCGATCGGCGGCTGACATGCATTTAATGCCATTGTGACATGACCGACGAGACGTTTTGGGTGTTTTTCCGTTTATGTCACGATGTATCGAAGTAGGAATCGGGAGCTCATGTCGTTTCTCGTCATTTACTCTTCGAGAAACGAGGGAATTATCAGTATATGAGTAAAACCGGGCTCATAGTACACCCCAATCTCCGACAAGATAAGCCAAGCTCGAGACATGATGACAAGGGACCGAAATCGAGGCAAAGGTCTCATCGAGTCAGAATCCGGTGGCATGACGCCCTCCCTAAAAAATAGCGGGGTCATGATTCGGGATCGGTCCTAGCCTTGAACGACTTCGAAGAATATTGTCGGGCAATCAAGAACGGCCAGTAGAAGGCCGTGATATCCGTGACCGACTAGATATCACGGCCGGGATCTTAGCACGTATCGATGAAGAACCAGCTATCAGTTAATTAGGAGATTTTTTACCTTTTATAGAATTGTACCTAAAGTAGGACTCCCCTACTATATAAAGGGGGTCTGAAATTCATAACAAACATTGTAACACGCATTCCAAAGTAATATATTATTATTTTCTTTGTAGCTCTTTTTCTTGTTCATCATTGCTGGCCATTGTGAGCCCGGATTGATGGTGAATATACTGGAACTATCTTCCTTGTGTGGTTTGAACTCATTTTATCTTTGTTTATTCAATCTAACTCAATTTATTGCTTTGTATCAAATTAATCCGCGTATTCTTAAAATTACTTACAAATTTAATTGTTATTCGATTTTGAGGGTAAATGTATATTATATGTTTTTAATACACATATATACAAAATTAAATATTTTATAGGCTATTATTGTTAAAAGGCTAAAAGTATATATTTCTCAATTAAAAATCTGAATCACTTTGTTTTCATTTTTACAATAATAGAAGACTTATTTTGATTAAATAAAATAAACGGCACTACTTGTTGTGAGTGCTAATTTTCATCTTGTTGGAATAAAGAATTTTTTTGAAGATCACATAATTTAATTCTCTATTACGTCTCTAATATGATTATTTATTTTTTGGTCCGTTGTTAAAATATTTTGGTTTTTCACCCGGTATATAAAAATTTCCCTTTCCACATTTCAAATGGGATTTTTACGAAACTATTTCACTGCATTTGCTGCCTTAGCTTCAAAGCTTCTGGTTTCTCGCTATTAATTAATCTCACTCCTATTGAAGCGCGTGTTTTCCATATCCCATTCTTCAACAAATCGAAGCCTTTTCTTTGTATCCCTCTCAACTTCGATCCAATTTCTCAAATTTTATTGCGATTAACAATCTCCAGATCTCCGATCAATGGCGAAAGAGTTCAACGTCCCGCCGGTGGTTTTTCCGTCGGGCGGAAACCCCGGTCCACAACAACGTCGACTTCCAACGGCGCCGTTTCAGCCGCCGAAATCATCAAACCCTAGCATACCTTTCATGTCCTTCGATGTAGGATCTGCAGCTGCTTCCACTTCATTTTCCACTCCTCAATTCGCCTCCACCACAATCGGCGGCGGTTCAACGGGTTTCGAAGACGAGCCGCCGTTACTCGAAGAGCTAGGAATTAACACAAAACAAATTTACCAAAAAACCCTCAGTATTCTCAATCCCTTCCGCGTCAAATCAGATCTTCACGAAGACGCTGATCTGTCCGGGCCTTTTATATTTCTCATGGCATTTGGGCTTTTTCAATTACTTGCAGGAAAGCTTCATTTTGGAATTATATTAGGCTGGGTTATAATGGCTTCGTTGTTTCTTTACGTAGTGTTCAATATGCTCGCGGGCCGAAATGGGAATTTGGATTTATACAGGTGTGTTAGCCTGATCGGTTACTGTATGTTGCCTATTGTGATTTTGTCCGCGATCTCGTTGTTTTTGCCTGGTGGATTGGTGATTAAAGTGGTGACTGGAGTTTTCGTGATATGGTCCACCCGGGTTTGCACTAGGCTCGTGGTTGAACTGGCATCTTGTGGGGATGAACATCGTGGCCTGATCGCGTATGCCTGTTTCTTAATTTACATGCTCTTCTCTTTGCTAGTGATATTTTGAACTAGATTAATGTGTTTGGTATATTGCTATTTATGGCTCAGTCCATTTTTAGTTTGTTAGTTCTATTCTACAAAGTTGAACATAGAGAACTGAATTATGTTAGTTTTAAATTAAATGCACGATTTGTTATAGTGGGAGGAGATTTTGTGGTTTAGTTTCTTCCTATGCTTTGGCAGGTTTTAAATTTCTTGAGATTCTAAATGTTAAATGAAGATGTACTTTCGTTTTCTGGCTTCATTATTCCTAGGTCTGAAAGGAGCTATTTTTGCAATCTCTTGCTTTTTCTAGGATATTCAAAAGATTTATGAGTTCTTTCAAATTTGCTAGAATATATTTAAAGATGTTTTTTACATTATCCTTCATTTATTGCCTGTGGACTAGGAACTACCTTACCATTAAGAAAAAATTTCAGTGGTGTTGATATATTATGTATTTTGCATTCCACTTTGGTTGGATGCTATGAAGATTATAAAAGGTCTGATTGTAGTGTGAGCAAAAAGGAGTGAAATCACAATGAAACAGAGAATCTAACTGTGGAAATGCAAGCCTTGATCCATTGAATCCATCTCTCACAAAACTTCATTTGTTTCATAATATCAAATAAAAAAGGCCAATGAACAAAAACCTGAAGAAGATACGGAAAGCTAATCCCTTTATGCGTAATCTAGACAGTTTGGCTTGAGAGGAATAGAAGATACTTTGAATGGAAAAAAGTGTCAATTTTTTTTGTAAAGTAAAGATGTATGCAGAATTTATCTTATTGGCATGGTGTAGATCCTGTAATTAGCACAGATGATTTCTTGGACTTGTTAGATTCTGCTCTTGGTCTTGGGTAATCTGAAAACAAGTCCAACTTTTTGTACTCCGTTTTTGGTACCTTGCGGGTACTGATTTTATCAATAAAACTACCTTATCAACAAAATAAGTAAAATCACAATAACTTCATGAATGATATGTGTGATGGTGGTTAACGATGATTGAATTCTTATGTGTCATCTGTTAATGTGCCTTCTTATCAGCATAAACAACTCAGTTGGGTGATTTCAATTCCTGCACATTCACCTCTTCATGCATATAGTAGAGAAGTTTAATGGCAACTAGTGATGGTAGAGCAAGTTGGAACAACCTAATGATGGTAGTGCTGTTCCCTGATCTAGAGAAAATATAAGATATTAGACTCAGGCTACCAATGAATAGCTTCTCGAGGCATGGAGCCATTTCATTTTGTGTGGGGCAGTGAGTTATACATTTAACTTTATGATCCAACCTTTTGAGTCGGTTATTGTGCATTGAAGCTTATAGTTCTTATCCAGAATCTACCTGATGCTTTGTTTTAGTAACTACCGGTAAGTTCTTTGTCAAGGTCTAGGTCTAAATGTTCGGACAGGCTTGTGGTTAGAGATTTTAGAGGATTGGGGCCAACTTTTTGTTGATTACTGTGTTAATCTGTTAATTGTTTATTGATTAGTTGCAGGCTTACTCAGATTAAACTTGATTGTTTTAATCAGTGACGAGATGTCTTTGTAGTTTATATTAAAGAATGCCCCAGATTTGTTGAGGTGGTCAAGGGACTTGTGATTGAATATTTTCTTATTCTAATAAGATCCACAAAGAATGTCTTCTTGCATTAACATACATTGGCATGGAGACCATCTCTTGTACAGTATATGTAATGCCTACTTGCCTCCATGAATTTGTCTACAGTAATGTGAACATGTGATATGATAAGGTTTATGGTATTAAAAAGAGTGTTTTGCATTTATGCAGCTAGTGGACAAGCTGTTTTCAGCTAATGAGCAATGAATTCTGCAAAGATTTAGCTTAGTCATTTATAGATACTATTGTGGTGGATCCAGCATTAAGATAAATGTTCTTTTTATATCAATAATATTCTTACATTACCTATCAATAATACCTAATGTGGTGGAGAAAATAAGATCAAGGAAGCAGTTGATTCAGTGACCTAATTTCTCATTTATTTTTGACCTAGTTTGCAAAGAAAGAGGTGCCCTGAAGTAAAGGATCTGATTGTGGGAATTTCTTTTTGTAATGAAGTAAAGGATCTTTTGGTTGAAAAATTGGTCACTGACCTTGTTTTGCCTGCTTCCTCCCCCCCACCCCACACCCCTCCCTTCTTTTCTTTTTTTTTTTTT